GTCTTCCTCTTGGGTGCCAGACCATATCCTTAGTACACTGGATGGTAATTCTCCATTCACGTGTCTATAACCCTTATTTTACTAAAAGCAGAGTAAAGGAAAAGCTTGTGTTTACCTTGTTCATCACGGTTTCCTTAGCACTTAGCCCAAAGCCAATCACATAGCAAGTGCCCAATGAATGTTTGTCATCTGAATAAATGTGTTTGGTGGGGTCATTATGTAGGACCCTTTCTAGCTGTAATATCCTACAGTCCCATGAACTGAGATTACACAGATCCTCCATTGTAAGATCTAACTAAGAGATATAACACCTCCCCCCACCCCCCAGATCTCTCTTTCTTTACTCCCATTGCTAATCCAAACGTTAGCATTGAACAGATCCTTGGAGTCCATCAGGACTAATAGAAATAATTATCATAGTCAATACTGAATCAACTAAGGCCAGCTTTAAACCAGCATATGTTGCTCAGATATTGGATGAGATTCAATAGAGTATAAAAACAGGTGCTAGAGCTGGGATGACATGGGGAGCATGAAATCTACATTCTAGCACCAGTACTGTCACTGATGGTATGACTTTGGGCAAGTCATTTGTCCTTTCTACACCTCAAGCTCACAATTGGTTGGACTAGATCATTTTTAAGGCTCCATTTGACTCTAAAATTTAGAATTCTAGAATTCTGGTGTTTCTTCTTCCTCTCATTATCTTGTAGGGCATGATTTGTTTTAATTAAGGAAACCATATAAAATATTGTGGAGTGAAAGGCATTGCTGTGAATAATTAGGCCAGAACAATGGGTGGATACTGGAATTGTCCCAGGCAAACTAGAAGGTGTTGTCACCCTTGCTTGAATTCAGTCTTTGGTGGTTGGGCTTCAGGTTTTTGGTTGGGATGTATAGTCACTGGAGAGAGGTTTCTTGGAATTTGTGGTCACGGGTCTGTTCTGGGATTTCAAGGAGGCTGCACTCACGGGTACCTAGAGTAGCTAACATACGCGACCACTGGGCAGGTGGCACTCCTGACTCCCCTACCTGCTCCTGGACAAGAAACCTGAGCCCAGAGTTAATGACACCTCTCAACCACACTTTGCTGAGTCCACACTCCCACCATCATCATGAAAACTTGACTATGGAGAAAGCAGATACCTGAATGAAATATCTGTTACTCCCCAAACACTGGTCATTGTCTCTGTCATCACGCTTATCCTTCCTCTAACATGTACACAACATGCCAGATCAAAGGTGCCCTTGGCTATACTATACCTTATCAACTTTCCCATTCCCGTGGAAGCCAAAGCAAATGGGACAAAATTGGCCCACCTGAGAAGTAGACTGATAAACAGAACTCTCCAATTCAATCACTCTTACTAGAGTTTTGAGCTTGCCTTAGATCTGTAAGGCCAATGACTAGTTCTTATGCACACTACACAATTACTAAAGCCTTTTTGAAGTTCACAGTCCCATCTTGACTTCTAAAGTTTAGAATATTTAGAATGCCTCAAAAAGCCAATCCCAGGTCAAAGCCAATAGTTGCCTTTAATTTTCCAGGCTCATGAAGACAATTGTCACCTCTTCAGCTATCTTTGGACACACTATTTCCGGGCACACATGGAAGGCAGCCTTTGAAAAGGTGTTGGAAGAGTCATAGGTGAAATTTTTCCTCAACGTCCCAGCCCATTTCTCTGGCCAATACATTTTACATGGTTTGCCTGTGAAAAGGTTAATAATAGCCTGCTACTGCCCGGGGCCAATGACTCAGGCTGTCGGTGTGGAGTGGACAGGGAGAAGGTAGTGGCTATCTCTTGACCCTCAGTAATTCCCACAAGTGGCTGCTGAAAGCTCCTTGCTCCCTCTCCATCCTATCGCGTGGAGTGACCAGAGCTGACTTGACATCAAAGTCCTGTAAAACTGCTATGGCTGAGAGCACTCAAGCCTGAATGACAGGGGCGAGAGATTAGGGAAAGAACTGTAAATTCTAAAAGGGCCTTGGGAATTGTGTCTGTCATGAGACCTGGTCATTGTTGATTTCCTAGTGTTGCTACGGGGAGATCACCACTATCATTACTTGGACGTCAGTACATTGAGGTCTATCTGGCAATCTAATGAAACTGGCTTTCCCAGGACAGAAATATTTGCCAGGGAAATGGAAAAAGGGAAAGGGGCTGGGACACGGAGGAAAACAGGAATGGCAATGACCGAGGGGCAGAGAGGTCAGAGCTACCTTACCACCTAGGCCAGGGTTCTGAATTCTCAGTGTTTTTTTCCTCAACTTGGAGCCTTTCAAAATTTTTGACCAATGGTTCAATATCTGCTTTTATCAGACCCGTTACATCTCTCCTCTTTCCACGAGGTGCTGGGCAAGTGCTCCTCTTCTCCTGTTATAGTTCTTAGGTGAGGATTCTCATGGTCTGGAGGGGTTCCAAAGAGCAGTGAACAACTAGTAGCATGCTAGGTCAATACGGCCACACCTTAATGGTAAGGGGCGGGTCCTTAAGCCAGCTACTGGGAGGGCCAAGCATCCGTATATCTCAGCTAGAGAAGGGCCTCTCTATAATTAGAACCACATCACAAACCACCTTCCACAGCACGCACTGGGGAAAAGCAGAAGTTGGAAAAGTTTGTGGAAGTGTAAAGGCTTCCTTGCTGAAAGGCTTTTCCCTTGTCCCATACTTGGTGTATGAAGCATACCTCTTAGTTACCAGGGCTGTGGCTCCCGTGGATGGTGAGCCATCGCCCAGCATCTTCAAAGAAGGCCTTTAGAGGTCTTCAGCAGTAATGTGGAGTAATGGAAAGAACAAGGGCTTAGACATCAGATGGCTCTGATGAACCTGAGGACTTCTTGTACTCTCTTCCACTGTAGGTTCTAGAATAAAATCAGCTTTATGCCAAGTAAGCATGGGATATAGATACATATCTATACAGGGGTCACAAACTCAAACTCTACAGGGGCTAGGTCCGAATGTAAAGTTGACCTAATAGACAAAATAGGAGATTCATGCTCACCTAGAGGCGGCAGCTTCCATTCAGTGTCTGCGGGTGGTTGTCATCAAGAAATACCAGAATTCAAAGACCATCCCATAACCCTACTGCAATTCATTACTCACTCAAGCTGCACAGGTAGTTTTCCACACTGTAAGGGGGAAACTAAACATCTCTATGACATGTGGGCAGTCTACAGTCTGCCTGTGAGTTATCTGTAGTGTACGTTGTCTGCCTCGTTTTACCCAAATCACAATTCCTTTCCCTTTTAGCCTAAAATAGTTACATTTTATTATACTGGGAGGCTCTGTTGCTCAGTTTTGGTTTCTGTCTTTGCTTGGGTGCTATGGTTGGCTCCACAGCCATAGCAATGGAAGCCAGACTAGACTTGGCCAAGTCCCTTATCCCACAACCTCCCTAAGCCTGTCAAATCCATAGATTTTGATCACTAACTTCTTTTTGAAGGACTCCTCTTTCCCTTGTCTCCTTCCTATCCTCACCCTACCCCATCCCCTCATCCTGCAGTGTTTTAGAAGATGCTTTCTCCCCTGAACCCCTAGCACCACAGCTTTATGGGGGTGTCAGTAGTGTGATGATGAGATAACCAGAGCTCCTTTGCCTGAGTGTCCCCCATCTAAAATTCGAGCCCCTGGTTTGAGAAACAGAGGCCTCAGCTGACCTCCTTCAAGCTTATCTTGTGTCTTTTAAGCTGGTCAGCGTTAAACCAGATACTTTGAGGGATAACAGCAGCTTGGCACTGAAGGAAAACTCTCTGACCATATCCTTGACCAACCAGCAACCCATTCTCTGTGCACTGCTAATTCAGAGGGAGAATAGCTCAGATGTGGCCTCAGGTTGGCTCAGGAGCAGTGGTTCCGCCCAGGTTTATGGCTGAAAACTAAAAAAAGGACCTCAGGCAATTTTCCCAGTCTCCCAGTGAGTGGTGGTGGCTCGACTGGGATTTAGGGCCAAGAGCCTTCCTTGCTGCCAGCCCAGCTCCCTAACCACTAGACCACATGGTCCATGTTTAACGTATGCTCAGCAAACCTCAAGTTCCAGGCCTGAAGAAACAGATTTTCCAAAAACAGAGCTCTCTTTGTGAACAATTCAGCAAAAATTCTCTTTCCAGCTGTGAGTTGGGATTCATGTTGCAAACGTCGGTGTTAATTGAAAACATCCACCTTCTACGGTTTCAACAAGAAGAATAAAGCACTACGCAGGATGCGTTCCGAAACATCCCTTTCCAAAGCACTTAAAATAGGAGTTCATGACATGGGCTGCCGAGGGTACTGATAGATACTCTCACCCTCAGTATTCACATGCAAGTGTTGGGGTCAACAAGATAGATGCAATGGGCCCAAAGCGGCAGGAGCAACCTTAACATCAGGAGGAACGACAAGAGTATTGCTCCTAGTCCTGTGTGTCCATTAATAGATGTTTAACTTTGTGCTAAGATCAGGAAGTGGACCTGGTTAAAATCAAATGTTTATCTGTTGAGTCATGGAAAATGTTCTTCACGTGGCTCTAAGTCCTTCAGACATGAATCAAATGCGCTATGACGAGGCCATAGATGCGACACAAAGAATGGCAGCGTGCATTGAGTAACTGGGATGCTGGCTGACTTCCCTCTGCTCCTACTACAGTTTTCACTTCACTGGGAAATCTTCCTCTAAGATGGTCCTGAGTTAGTGAGGTCAGAAAGAGTGAACCACATTCCTTCTTGTGCTTGTCTCTGTTGGTAAATTTGCCTTGCTTTAATACATGACCCAGACAGGAAAGAACCAAGCCAAACCCACATCATTATGAATGAATTTCTTTGTTTTTAATCTCACGCAGTTTAAAATACAATATGAAATCAGACTACAGTATATAAAAAACTCTCCAGCAAAATGATGTGCCAGCATCAGCTACTAAAATAAACAAACAAAAAACGCCCCCATAAGAAAATTTTTTTGCATTTAAAAAAAAAAACAAGACACTTACATCGCTACATCTCTAAGCTACCTCAGTTCTGATTTTTAAAAGCACCTGCTTTTCCTTTTTTTATCTTGCTGTTAAATTTTCAGCTTTTAAAAAATATAAATTATATGAAAATACAAGTTGGAAAATAGTCAAACATAATATAACATCTTTTTCACCCCTATACTTCTCAGCTTAAAAAAAAAAAAGTACTCTTTAAAAAAGTTCAATAACTGAGGCAGTATTCCTGAAAGAGATAATTACCATTTTAATATATATATTTTATATATGTATATGTATACATATATTCATTGTTCCTTGAAACGTCTTTGGAATGTAGGTAAGAGCTGAACAAATTTATATAGACCCCAACAGAGAAAGCAGCATGCACAGCATACTAGAAGAGAGGAGGTGTATTTTTCGCCATGAAGGTTAGGCAGGTTAATGCTCTACAACCCAGAGTGTTCCATCTCCAAAGTGAGGATAAGCCATCTGATCTCTGAATGCTACTTCCAATCCCCAGAGCCCCAAATCAGGGCTATCCAGCGGAAAGTCCCTCCCCTGGATGGAGACGGGAACAAAAGTGATTCTGAACCCCAAAGCCAAAACCGACATCAGTAAGGCATCTCCAGGAAGTAAGGGTTCCACCCAGTTCAACCAGATTTGCTCATCCTTCCTCTGAAGTTAACATGTGTTTTGAAAATGCACAAATGCAACAATTCTGCTACATTTCCAGTGTATAAACCACCCACCACTCTTCCTGCTATGGTCTCTGGCCTTTAGACAGAGAGGAAAAAAGCATCTGGCCAGATCAACAAAGCTGTCTTAACTACTACGCTATCTACGAATACTGCAAATGGTGGACCTAGAGAGAAAGCGAATCTTAAAACACAAGTGGGATCAGGAGCACTAGGAGGCACTTTCTTATCTCTTATCTGCTATGGAGTTGCCCGAGTCAGACATACTAACAGAAGGGGAGTTTTCAGCATCAATTTAAGAGGAAAGGTTGACGGGTTGAGAAAGTGATTTTACGCCTGGTTGCCAACAGCAAGCAATGCTCTATGCCTGACCATGGCACTACTCTTGCCCATTACTGAAATGTGAAAAGGCTAAACTAGGAAACACAGGTATTATCTCAGCTGCAGGTCTGCGTATCTGCAAACACACATACACAGACACACAGACACACACCCCCTTTTACCAGTGCCCAGTGAAGATCACATAATCACAGAGAAAACAATGTTGTCCAAACGATTCCACCTAACGCTCCCTGAGCAGCTCCTAAAACACTTCGAGAGCTTTATTAAGGCACCCGCATCAGAAAGGAGATCAAAACAGACAGCGGAAATCATTCCGCCTTTGCTTTTCCTATTACTGCTAGGACACTCAGGAATCACGCAGCCATGCTCCTGATAACTGTCTGCAAGAGGACCGGGGAGGAAACCATCAACATTCTTGAAGATATGCTAGAAAGTAGTTAGCAACTCAGTTGCTCAGCTAAAGCTCAAAAAGGGCTAGCCCTGAGCAGCCCATCTTAAATGCTTCTTCACCTCTCTCGTGGAGGCTTGCAAAGCCTTCCTGCTTCCATCATGCTATTAATCAGGTATCTCTATGGTGGGTTGGATTCTAATCGTATTAGGCACTTCTCAATAATGAGATGCCGAGATGCTGGTGTCTCCCAAAATAATCCAATTTCAGATCATCCCTCACAAACCAGCTGACCGGCTCAGTTGATTACGCTTAAACTTTGGGGGTACTGAAAACATACTCAAATGTCATGGACCACCTTATTTTCTTCACTCCAGTTCCTTTCCTTGTGTTTCCTTTACCTTCAAGCCATTCCTGTATTGCAAGTATTATTCTTTTTACTTCCCCTGTGTCAGGATAACAGATCCCGGCACCAGGCCCTAAGGTCATCTGTACTGTTCACTCGGCATACACAATCTCACTTAACCTTCTAAAGCTCAACTATCTTAAACTCTTCAAATGAAGAGGCAGTCAAATCACATTTTACTTATATGCTCTCTTAACTCCTGCTGCTTCTTCTAAAACCCAGCAAGTCTAAATGGCCTTATCAGAGACGCTTCAATGCATGGCAAGTCTGCAGTTACTCACCAATCAGAAAGCTGTGCACTTCTCTCTACTGAACAACAGAAGGGAGTGGGGGGAAGCAACAGATGGGGCACACTGGACCAAGACGAAAGGGAGAAAGCGTGAGTGTGAGTTTGGAACTACCTGCATTCTGGACTTACTCCTTAAGACCTGAGAGCTAATGCTCATGCACACAGCTTTTCTTCCAAGTCAGATACGTTACAGGCATTCCTTCGATTTCCTTCCCACCACTTCCAACAGCGCTCCTACATGCACTGTAGTCCAGAATCAGGCTGCAAAATACATTCAGTTCAAAGACTTAATGCCTCTCAGCTCAACATTAAGTCCAAACCCCGAGGATCCGCTAATGATAAACAAGTAAAGCGGTGTGCTGATCATTTTTTTTTAAATTATAGATGAAATTCCCATGCACAGTGCCCTTAGACTCAAATCAGCCTTAGTTCTTCCTTCATATACAGGTCTCACAGGAACTGGGGATCCCCCATCTCAGTGACAGGGTTTGGCTTTTCCAGTGGGGTCTATATAAACAGTTTTCTTTCACTGTGACAGAATCCTCAGCCGGCAAATAAACACAAACGTGCATGATACCGCAATACTGAGACCACCTTAGAGCTTAAGACGATTTTTAAGAAAAAAATACTGGCACAAAATTTAATAAAATAAATTTTAACACAAAAACAATTTTGGCCCCTCCCAGTGAAGTCCATTTTTGTTTCAAAAGCAAAATGAAGGTAAATAGTTCTGGGTTGGTTTGTGCATCCCCCAAACAAACTGTTTTATCCAGCCTCCCCTTTTTTACCCTCCCGACCTAAAAACAAAAGCAAATTAATTGCCTTTCAACAGCCTCACAACTTCCAGAGTATCGATTTCTTTTGCTAATGGGTCCATAGCACAAGACACATTTTTTCATGGACTACTTTAAAAAGTGATAGGACAGGTTAATCTTTTCCTCCCTTAAGCCTGATTCTTCAGGCTTCCAAGAGGACCCTTCTCTTTCTCAATCTCTCCTGAAAATTTGCTCCAGAACTTCTTGTCCCACCCAACCCAAAAGTCCTGGTTTTCCTTTTCCATCCATGCACACTGATTATAGCTGCAATTCACTTAGCTCCCACCCCTGAATGTAAAAAAATGACTTCTGGAAAATTAAAAATAGAATAACACTTAAAAATCAAGAGTCCGACTGCACAGTTGTTCTGTGAAATGTCCTGACACAGTGTCCCTGGCTGCGGCTGTGTCCGTCACTCATCAGCGTCGGGTTTGACGTCCAGCATGGTGTGCAGCTCCTCAGGCGTGTACCCCAGCAGGCTCTGCAGGTCGCACACGAAGCGGTACACATAGCGCTTCCCCGCCGTCTTGTGGATGATGTTCTTGTCGTAATAGTAGCGCAAACCACGGCTCAGTTTCTCATAATTCATCTTAGGCTTGTTTTTCCTCTTTCCCCATCTCCTGGCCACCTGAGATAAAAACAAATGAATAAACTAAATTCCATTAAAAAGGAGGAGGGAATAAAAAGTCTGCAGCATAACTCGAGTACGTGTGTTTCTATGCATACGCCCATTCGTGGTGACCCATGACATAGGATGGTTAAAGCGTCATGTATTTCTGACCTATCTTGTAGGAATTCTATGTTTCAAGCATTGGGCAAGGATGGTGATCAAGCTGGTTCTTGAAGCTGATGGAAATGCAGTGACCCTGGACTTCTATGTAATGAGGATAAAGTGTTTGATTTTGAAAAACAAGAAAGCAACCATACAGACTCTCCTTTTCCCCCACATTATGGGTTGAATGTCCTTGCCCTGGAGGCACCAACTCTAACGTGAGGGAGTAGAACCTGACTTGCAGCCACACCTGCTTTTCCTTGACAGGAAGCAATGCGTCTGTCCTGAGGCAAAACTACTTCTCCTGTCTGTCAGAACAGAGATGGTGCCTCTCTGGTTCACTATTGTTTATCGTTAAAATTGGGCATGGCACAGAGCAACCACTCAATAAGCATTTGTGGAATGAAGGAAGGAATTAGTCAACAAATGGTGCCAACCTCCCAAGGCCTCTTGAACTGTCTGGCCCTTGTATATTCACAGAGACACAGGACTGGGAAGAGGCAGCAACTCCTAATTAGCAGGAGCCTACTGGGTGCCAGGCACTTCCCATGCAGTTAATCTTGGAAAGCAAACGGCTGACGTAGCTACTATCTCTATTTTCCGAGAGGACACCAAGGCTCATGCAGGTTATATAACTTGCTTAAGGTCACACAAGTAGCAAGTGGCAGAGCTGGGGTTCAAATCCCAGAGAATGTCATTCAGGCCCCCACAGCCCCTTCCCAGGGTTTTCTCTCACCCTCTCTCAACCCAGTCCTCACAAGTCACTCCTTTCTTACCTCATCTGGGTCAGAAAGCTTGAATTCCCAGCCGTCTCCTGTCCAGCTGATAAAAGACTGGCAGGATTTATCAGTGAGTAATTCCAGAAGAAACTGCCACAGCTGGATTGGTCCACTGCCTGGAAGCACAAGCGAGTGTGAATCATTACACCAGATGCCTGGCAACTAATCTAATTGAGCCGCACACCCTCTCCCCTCACCACTCAGTCCACCTAGCCGGGGAAGCTGAAGGCTGTCGCAGGAGACGCTACAAGCTTGAACAGATAGAGAGGTGAAGCACTTCTTAACTCTCCCTCCCCCTAAAAAAGTGTTCAAGACAATAGATCAATTGCCTTGTTTTGACTGACTTATGGGTCAATTTCTACTGCTAAGTAAAATCTAGAGAAATATATTGAGTCTATCCTCTGAGATATTCTAAGGCAACACAGCCTTTTGAGCTTTCAGAAACCAAGTCATTATTTTTGCCTGAAGAAGTCAGAAAGGTGTTTCCTAATGAATGTCTTTGCGAGTTCCCAGCAGAAGCCAACGCGGCTAAGCACGCCTTTACAGTAGGGAGCCTTGGCCCTGGTCTGCAAGGGAGGAGCATCACCATCCCCTCCGCAAGTCTCCTCACAAGCAATCAGAAGCTGGATGTGCTTTCAGCTATAACACTCCTCCCCGCACCCTTCCCAGACCACTTACAGGCAAACGCCCAAATGAAGAAAGGAAAGTATCATCGCTATTTGAAGAATTAACTTGCCACCCACGAAATTCTCAGGGGTTAAATGAGGACTGTCTCAGAAATTCTTCAGGGACAAAGTATATTCCAACTTACACACACACGTACATGCGTAACACCTACTCTTCTCTTGTTTTCGCCATTAATTCCCCCAAGATCTGAGCTCTAGAAGCCTAGTATATGCTGGCAGTCAATTTATCTATGATAAAGATTTATGCCACACAGATTTCCTTGTAGGGTAACTTTCTATTCAGAACTGATATTGCCACCAGTGATTCCTATCAATTTGTGGGTGTGGCTGAAGAGACAAATTATCTCAAACAATCCGGGCAGAGCAGGACAGTCCTGGCAAAGACCTATCCCACTGGTGCAGAAGGTGCTCAGAAGAGCAATGTGACTTTGCTCCAAGACACAGTAAGTGGCGGTGCTGTGCCTAGCACCCTGGTCTTCAGGCCCCCAGCCCTGGGGCTACCTCCACCAACACCACAGGAGGCAGCAGCTGCTACTGACCTGCATTATCATCCCCCAGTCCAAGGAGGCTGGCCTTCAGAAACAACTTCTTAATGGTGGTTTCCAGCACTCCTTAGCAAGCCTCAAGCTAAATATGGGAAAAGTGGCATCCGCACCTCATCATGCTAAGAATGCATCTTTAGCAGTTTAAATCCATCTTGCAAGAAATACCTTACGCAAATTCTAGAATAGAACGATTCTGAGAATATCGACAAAATAAACCAACATCTGGAGAAGCAGCCCAGAGGGCAACACTGGTAAAGTCTTACCCTTCCCTGTTTCTACTCCAGGTGAAAAACCATTCCCTGTCCAGCTCAGACACATCTGTAGGTTTCCAGGAAGTCCAGCCAAGTCATCCGATGACTGATTCCTGCCCGGCTCACAATACTAAACACGACGTTCTATGAGGAGCCCCCCGAGAAGCTGACCCAGTGGGCAGAAGGAGGTTAAGAAAGCAAATCTGTCTGAAGAAATGCCTGGGTGTTTCTGGTGGTAAATAAGAACAATGAGGAAGAAGAGGAGGAGAAGGAAATGAAGTCGATGCAAGAGACCTTGTGATGTAACCGGTTTTCTTGTGACATAACCAGGTTCACGATGACTACGACATCCAACGGGACCCCTGAAGAGAGACACGCAAACAAAACCCAACTACACAAAGGAGCCCTGTGCCCCGCAACTAAGCTAAGTCCCTGTGTCTGGATTAAACTCCCTGAAGATGAGAGAGAGAGGTTGCCTGAAGACCCCCGGCAGAGAAGAATACCAGCGGGAGCTATGATTTCTGTGTATCTACTATAACCTGACACCGTCACCAGCTCACCTACTCCTCACATACCTCTGTGGGGGAGACGCTACTGCAGAACATCTATTAGTGGACGCCAGGGCTAGGAACGGTACTCTTGTTGCTCCTCCTGAAGCTAAGGTTGCTCTCGGCCACTCTGGGCCCATTGCGTCTATCTCGTTGACCCCGACACTTGCGTAAGAAATCTGGGAGCGATAGCATCTATCAGAACTCTCGGCAGCCCGCGTCCTGAAATTATAAGCGCTCTGCAGAGGGGTGCTCATGAACACATCCTGCGTAGCGCTTTATTCTTGTTGTTGAAACTGTAGAAAACTTCCCACTTGGCTGCAGTGATCCAAGGGATCAAAGGATCTGACTGGAGAAGAACACTCTTCCCCTCTTCTTGCTGGCCTATCAGCGGTTCTCTGACCCTCTGCTGCTCGGGATGGTGCTGTCCCCTAGTCCCAGGCCTACTTCCACAGTGATATTCCAGGCCATTCAACCATGTTCCCTCATACTTGCTGTTAGGTTATGTTATTTCATTATTTCTCCCTCAAACTATTTAACTTAAAACCTCTCTCATACTATTGATCTTCAAATCCCTTTGGGGAGAAGGGGGCTAATTACACCAAACTGAGGAATGGGACGGAAGGATGGGGAAAGGACCAAGTAGAGCCTCGAGCACATCTCCAATTCCTGAAGATCAAAAAACCAAACCAAACCAGCCGCCATCAAGTCAACTTCAACTCACGGCAACCTCACGTGTGTCAAAGTAGAAATATGCTCCATAGGATTTTCATATCTGTGCCCTTTTGGAAGCAGATCACAGGTCTTTCTTCTGAGATGCCTCTGGGTGGGTTCGAACCGCCAACCTTTTGGTTAACCATTTGTGCCACCCAAGGACTCTGAGTTCCTGGAGAGGAAGGTTCGAAAGACTACACCACAGTTTCCTGCCCTTAAGACTCGGCAGCCATAAAGTAGAGAAGACGTGAATTCATGTAATCGGCACCAGCTCACAGAGGAAGAAACCTCAGACAGAGTTTTTCCTGTCAGTGCCATTCCCAAACTGAAACTTCAGAGTCGCAGGCTTCATCCGTCTGCTCCAGCCCTCTTTCTGTGTATCTCTCACCCCACGTCTGTGTATGTGGCTGAGGAGGCAGGAGGCAGGGTGAGCAAGTCCCTGTCTATGGGTTTTTATTTTTTTTTCACTATAAGTTTTCCTGTGTTCAAAAGGATCTTACAAATGTTAAATCCGGGAAGCTGGCACCTGGGCTTAGGTGCTGTGCTCTCTACTGTTTTTTCTATATACGCCCAAGGAAGAGGGTGGGTCAACAGGAAAATCAGACGCGTAAAGGAAGCTTGTGGACTTGAACGGGGAGAAATGTCTCTGGATAGCTCCAGAACAAGGAAGTAAAAGGCGTGGGGCTGTCAGCTCAAGCCCCTCTCCCCCAGTTCCTGCAGAGAAGGAATCCCCTCAGCCCGCCCAGGGCTGATCAGCCACTCAGTGTCTCCCCCGGGGGTGCTGGGAGCCACTGCTGGCCCTGCAGCTCTGTCGAAGGAGCAGACGCGAGACTTCTCCAGAGGTTCCTCTCTACCATCCTGTCACTGAGTCCTCAACAGCCCTTGCTACACGGAGAGGAAGGACCAGGACTACTCCCCCAGGCAGCGACACAGGGAGGAAGGACCAGGACTACTCCCCCAGGCAGC